GCAACAATATCTTGAAATTACAGCCTTTCTTATTTTGCGATGGGAATTGCTAATTGTACTGTGGGAAGCGCATGCGCCCTGAGAAGAATAGCATTATTGTTTTGTGTATATAATATTCTATTTTCTCAGTCTGGAACAGTTCTTCACACAGTTCTGTAGTTTTTTCAACAAAGACTTTTTTGGTGCTGCAGATCTCCATAAAAGGCGTCGTTTCTAGTCTATATACGTCTTTAATCTTTGACTGATTTTTTTTTTGAATAAAATATTGTTTTATTTTGTTACAAGTTTTATGCAATCTCCAAGGGTGCTGGATCTAGGAATGTTGAGGGTGCAGCAGTACCACTAACTTAATATAAGGTGGTTCCGCACACCTGCGGGTGGTGTTAAAATAAGAGTATAATTACACACATTATTAGTTTTGTGAATAGGGTTGCCATCTGCTCGGTTTCTAATTATAGTGACAAGTGTTTAATGAGTTACTGTGGCTCTCTGAATACATTTCTACCCATCATATGCATACGTTTCGATTTTGTTCATTGGTTTCGTCACACCCGCTACCAGAATTGCTCTAACGTCAATGTTAGTCTATTTTATTTTTCAAACTTAGACAAAGTTTCGTAGTTTAGGTTTACCCCATAAAACATGTTCTTTTCGAATCCTCTGTTATCCTGTGAAACCTAACTACCACTCTTAGGGAGAATCAGCTCACCCAAAGAGCGATAAATAACGTTTACGACAATCAGGCAGGTAGGTTTAAACAGATGAAATAACGATACACTGATTTATTTTAAACAAAATATAGTGGTAAATCTTTTAAACAGAGCTTACAATATATGATCGAATTGCTTTACTCTTCTCCCAGAAATAATATTTCTACGAGACATTTTGAACAAGAACGGTTCCCTAAATACTTCTTAGAAAACATAACAAAATAAGATTCTAATAAAGAATCTGTGCCCACCACAGGTATCGAAAACCGGTTTTTATAGTTATAAGACTTCAGAATTACCGCTGTGCCACTTGGAGCGAAACGTCCGAATATTAAATGTTATTAATTGTTGTCGTGGTTTTCCTGATCTTGAGTAAGTAATTCATAACTGCTTATAATAGTTGGTAAACACAATCCAAAAATCCAATGAATCATAACTGAAGAAACATAATGAAACTTAAACAACTTTTACTCTTGTTTTTATCATTTTTCCTAATATATATTATAATAATCGGAACTTTTATATTTAAAAATATAGTTCCATAGCCATCTACCGTCTGCTAGATGACAATGAGAAAAAAAAAAAAAAAATTGGGACAAGAGTTATTACTTATACTTTTCCGTATCAAAGTTCGAAGGCTTAGCTTAAGCCTCTGTCATATGGTGCCATAGTTTCAGTTCCGGAGTTTTCTTGAACTGGAGAATGAACATTTAAAAATCAAATGAATGTTTTATCAAGTTCAAGACTAATCATAAAACAAATTATAACTAAAAGGTGAGATATATATAATATTATAAATAATTATAGATCAGAAACTTTTTTTTTCGTATTTGTTTTCTAAATTAATCGAGTAAAAATTGTTAAACAGTTTTCAAAGTTAGATGGGTATGGGCAATAACTTCAATACGCTATAAGTGTAATATACTCACACTCACAGTACAACTATGAAACTTGAAAATGTAAGAAATAATTCTTATGATAATTTATTTCATGGGTGAAAATACTATTAATAAGCCTTTGTGTTGTCACGTAATCAAGCATAACTTGCTGACGGTGAGTGTAACCGTAACACATTAGTCAAAACTGTTGTAGAAAGAAGCACATTATGCTAATAGTAATACAACAGTAAATGGACCAACAATTATCCATAACTATAAGTATAAGCATAATGAAAATTTTATCTAGATAACGTACTAGACGTTTTGATAGAACATCAACCTGTATTCTTCAGGTATGGTATACACTATATACAGTTAAGCATTTGGTGTTCATTTCATGATGTTAGGAACACATTTAGATTAAAAAAATTAAAAGACAAAAGACTTTTCTCTGTCAGGGGTAAACTGGAAAGTTACAACTTACAGCAGGTTTATGACTTAAGGAATTTTCCTGTAAATGTCATTGCTGTTATGTGACAAAATTCCCATCTATTAGTATTATAAACCCTTATGCTTAACTGTAAATCATAATTGAAGAAGACAGACCAATGTTTTGTTAAAACATGGTGTAGTATGGTCTGTATATAAAATTTTAATTAGGTTTATAGATTTTTATTTGTCAACTAACTATTACATTAATCAATACTATAGTCTGTAGTGTAACTTGTAATGCAGTCACAACAACATACCGCATCTTTCCTAGGCCTAACATACCATACATTTCCTAGGCCTATCTGATTAACATTTAATTTATTACCTATAATTAATCCTGGACTGACAAAACCTATATATGCTTTAGTTTCATAATTATAGAAAATGATTTATTAGAATGGTTTTCAATTTACAAATGAACAAACCACCTTTTCAGACATGCTAAAGATAATCTCGAAGTTGAATATTGGTGAGAATGGACCCAGTTTCTAATACAGTTGTAGCAAGAAGGAATAAGTGGAAACATTGTGCAAAGTTCATGCTCAACAGGTTTTACATTTATTTGATAGTGTTAAGCAATTCATTCCATAAGCGAACCACCCTGTTAGAAAAATAAAACTGTCTTAACTGGAATCTAGCCTTTTTCCAAATGTTAAACATGTTGTCTCATTCTATTTATCTTTAGCCTATCAGTTCTCCAGATAATATTGTAATCTTAAACCTGGTATCCTTTTTTTTTTTCACAAATTAAGAGATCGTAACCTGGCTAAATAAAATAACCTTTCCATCCCAAAAAATCCTTCTTCTGAGTCCTTTCCGGTAAGTCAGTATCTTTCATTAATAAGGAGACAAAAACTGTAGAGTGTTCTAAATGAACCATAATAAGTATTTGTTTATAGAGTGATAATTATATCTTTTGATTTCTTATCGGTATGTCTATAAATGCACCCTAAAATTCTATTAGCCTTGCTACTAACAAAAGAGCACTGCCTTGATGTCATATCCACTACTATACCGAGATCCTTTTCATCTGTCACTCTATGGAGTTGGTTACAATCTATATTAAACATATGATCTGAACTATGATAACCCAAATGCAGGAATGTCGAAATGTTTAACCCTGTTTAAAATTTTGAATACTATATCGTGACAAAATACAGTTTCCCACTGTTAGTATCTCCCTAAATGTGAAGTAAATCAATAAATTGTCGTACTTTTCACACACTCCTTCCTTTTATTGGATTTTTAAGGTGAAAAAATGATACTAGTTTACATGAAAATTGTTCATTGTAAAGTGATTGTTATTCTTACCTCAAGGTGACTGTCTGTAGTCAATGCAAGTTTTCTTTTTTTTGGTAGAATCATTTCTAATTGGAAGTTTTTACTTCTTCTTATGTGAGTGAATCACTGTTATCATAATAAATAACGTACAATGTAAGACCTACATCAGAACAGATTCCTAACGTATGATGATATACATACAACGTAAGACCTACATCAGAACAGATTTCTGATGTGTGATGATATAGATACAACGCAAGACCTACATCAGAACAGATTCCTGACGTATGGTGATATACATACAACGTAAGACCTACATCAGAACAGATTACTGATGTGTGATGACTGACATACAACGTAAGACCTACATCAGAACAGATTCCTGACGTATAATGATATACATACAATGTAAGACCTACATCAGAACAGATTCCTGACGTATAATGATATACATACAATGTAAGACCTACATCAGAACAGATTCCTGACGTATGATGATATACATACAATGTAAGACCTACATCAGAACAGATTCCTGACGTATGATGATATACATACAATGTAAGACCTACATCAGAACAGATTCCTGACGTGTGATGATATACATACAATGTAAGACCTACATCAGAACAGATTCCTGACGTGTGATGATATACATACAATGTAAGACCTACATCAGAACAGATTCCTGATGTGTGATGATATACATACAACGTAAGACCTACATCAGAACAGTTTCCTGACATATGATGATATACATACAACGTAAGACCTACATTTTAGATTTCTAACATACAAATACTTGAAATTTAGTAACAATAGGTTACAAGATCTTTGACTGTAATACTTAGATTACTGAACTTATGTTTTTATACATCTTTTTTTTACAAATATGACATCATTTCATAACTTAATTTCATTATTATTTTACTTCTTAGGTATCCATTTCTACTGTCAAAATGTGGTTCTACTTTCGGCTGGTTCTTCTGGCATTTTATTTTTTGTTGTTGTTTTTCCTGTCTCGACTGTTAGAAGCTGTTTCGTGGTACCAAGGGAACTCCACGTTTTTTTACTCAAGACAGATTCTTGAACCCATTTCTCTGAGTGTTCTGAAACTAAAACAGATCTTGGAAAGTCGAGGGATAAGCTATGCTGGTGTTGTTGAGAAGCAAGAGTTGACAGCATTAGTTGAGTCATCAGGTAAAAACAATATTAAATCAGATGTATTTAACAACTAAAGGGAAACATTATGATCATCCTTCTAAATGAACTATTGTTATTTTCTGTTAGGAATCTATTTCTATTAACCCTATCTCGACGGGTCACATGTCAAAGGGCATGTCATCTCGTTTGCTGACTTGCATTCAAAATTTTATTGAACTACTATTTTTATCAAATTTTAGTAGTATACATTAGTTAATTTCTTAATTTAAAAGTAAATATTAAAAAAACACAGCTAAACGTTGATTAAGAGCTTATTTGTATATAGAAATAATGTGTATAGATATATAATGTATAATAGTTGAAATGTGATTGTATTTTACAAAATGACTGTCCACTAAAACACAGTCAAGAAAGGTCACTTTGTAAAGACTAAAGGTCAGTTATATATTATTGGATACGGTAACATGAGTGCACGTGTGCCACATCATTGTAACTTCTGTATTGTTAGCCAGGCATGGCTGGAAGGTCAATATAATAAAAATCATAAATATATATTTGTATATATGTATAATGTTATGATATTTAAGCTATTTAGACTAAAAATTTGTG